TTCGAACTCAAAAGCGATTGGACAGTTGAAAAGGTTCCCTCGTTAGTGTGGTTTATGTAGATTTTCGTTGGATATTACTGTGTGAATATCGGTTTGATTGAATGAACTTATGGCAAAAAGTATCACACAGACGCGTATGACATTGTGCAGAACGACACTGATGCGAATATAAATATCCACACTCACACGCAACCTTGTTCGAACCTTGGATACTAGTTTTGTTTACCGCTGTACAGTAGTATATAATAGCGAAACAGTCAAATATTCAGTCGAGAGTCAAGCGACTCACACAGACGAGCGTTACTTGTTTTATAATTATTCAAATAATGAATATGTTTTGTTACATTTTAACCATATGTCATGTCATGATCAATCTGTATGTCTGCCTCATTTATTAGTATGTACACCAAAATTACATATCAGTACGCGTGATGATCCTGATGAATATTAAAATATTTAGGATGCTCTATTATATAAATGTTTGCGAGAGATAGAAATTAGAAAATAGTTCTACAAGTTTAATTTTTAAGACTTATAATGAAATAGTTCTTTTCATTATGAATGAATGATAACATGGATATTGCCAAGAAAAATGAGACGGGGGGAGGGGGAAGGAGCAAAGGAAGTATCAGTGTTGCCACTGCTTCTGTTTTTAGCGAAAAATTCTGTTTTGTGGAACTCACGTATATTTTCGAAGAAAATAGTGAGTGTAAGTTTTAAGTTCGAGGTTTGGCGGACCCCCCCCCCCCCATTACAGACTTTAGCGATGGAGAATAAAAGGTGTCAGATTTTCTAGAGTTTGAAAAATTCCTCAAGTTATGATTTTGGAGATTAGTCAACATCATTGTTTGTGAGTTGATTAACATATATATAATAGTGCATAAGATATGCTGTAGATATTATGTATATGTAAAATAGACTTATTTGCCGATTCATTGATTATAATAATAAGAATATTAAATTAAAAAAACACAAATCAAAAAAAAAAATAAAAAATTATAAGCGAATAGCAATAATGCAAACAAAAAATAGGGCGCCCGTAGAAAAAAAAGATTCTATTTTAAATGTAGAAATAAATCATCAGTTATTAGCGAAAACAACTACAGTAGACGAGAATTTTTTCAGTTTACGGATGATGTATTAGGATAGCAAGGTTGAAGAATATACGGGAGTTCCACATTTCAACTCCGAAGGAGCTGCGCTAACAAGCTTTTTTCAGATATCTTATCTATTACATTTTTAACCCAGATTTGTGATATTATACTATATCATTTTTTTCAACAATGTGAAGGAAAATTCGTATTGATATCTGGTGGCATTTTTGTCTTATCCTTATTCTAAGATAAGCATAATTCTTGTTTTCCACTAGTTTTTGACAAACTGGCAAATCTATATTCTTTATTCTTTACCTATATCTTTCTTTCTATCATATTTTGAATAAAAAATTTTTCAAAAAGGCCGAAGTGTTCTGTGCTTGCTGCTGACCCATCTTTAAATAATAAATAATCTTACATACAAACATATCAATATGCCAACAGGAAAAAAAAATCTATTTGCATAATAGAGATACCCATTTGAATCAATATGACCATTAAAATGTCACTAAATTGTCTCTTGAACATTTGATTGCTATCTTATTCTGTATAGTTATTTTATATTTTGTCTTCACCATTCTACACCTTTCATTGATGCGTAACAAAAAAAAGGAAGAAAGATAAAAAAAAAACGACAACCTTGAATAGTTGTCGACCTAACTGCTATCCATACCGTAAAAATACAATGACGTTAAGATTCAATTATAAAAGTAAACATCGATTTAATATGATTCATCATTATATATATTCTTTATGGAAAATAAGTTTTGAAACATATTATCGAATAATAAAGCAGAAATATTCAATCTCGAATGCAGATAGAAGCAAAAATAAAGAACAATTTCAACAACGCTATTACACTCGTCAAATATCTATTAAAATTGTCCTTCTAACTTTTGTTCTGGTATTTTTTTTTATTACTCTACTTATATACTTAATTTTATCAGAAAAAACAAGATCATCTAAGATTAATGATATTTTTGATTTACACGACGAAATTATTTTATCGAATCGTAATGAATCTTCTATTCATCATATTTATATTGATATTGGCTGTTTTAATGGTGAAACAATTGAACATTTTCTTCATTTTATTCCTAATAGTACATTTTATGATATTATTACATTTGAACCTGATCCAGTTAACTATCAATTATGTAAACAACGATTAACAGATAAAAAATATATGAATATAAATATAATTATTCTACAAAAAGTTGTTTGGATACGTGATGAAAAAATTTATTTTCAAACTGAACATGGCCGACTAAGTCGAATAAATAAAAATGCGAATGGTAAAAAAATTAATAAATCATAGATTAACAAAGAAATTTTTTTTTTTTTTTTTTTTAAATTTAGTTCTCAATAGTAATTTGAAAGAATTAGATGCTATTGATTTTTCATCATGGCTTACTCGTTTAGTTAAACCAAACAAAACTAAAGTACATATTAAAATAAGTATGCCTGGAGCAGAATTACTACTTTTAGAAAAAATGATTGATGATGATACATTAAGATTAGTTGATAGATATGACATTGAATGGACAGATAGAGAAAATCCTCATACACGTCCTGCACGTATTTATATTCAATTAATGCTTGATGGTTTTGGTTTTGATTGTCTTTATTATACAAATTTCGAAGATGTACGAAAAGTATTTCAATTGAATGAAACATTTCAAAATGTTATTAAATATCATGATTGGAAAAGCATGAATGGATCTGAAATATATGCACATTATACTCAACGACCCGACGTAGATCATGTATCACATTTAATAAATAAATTAAAATAGAATATCAATACAATTTGAGAGAATGTCGTTGAGTTTCAAATTCATTTATTTGTATTTCATAGTGTTAATTGATACTTATCCTATAAATATTATTTCTTATGATAAAATTTTTAGTCTGAAAAAATCACAATTGACTTAGTAAGTGCACATTGTCACTATAAAGCAGTACAAGAATACATTAAAACAATGAGCCATATTTAATATTCAAAAATTGTTTATGCTTCATGTTTATGATATCACATCTAGAAAGAGTTGTAAGCCTATGCATTGATGGGCAGCTGAAGTCGTTTTCGAGACTTTCTTCATAATTTTCTTAATTTTAAGAAATTTTGAAATGAAAAAAGATGGTAGAGAACTTACTGACAAGAAACTAAGCAAGAACAGCTCCAAAAAATTGATTTCGCATGTTGGAAATTTTTAAATACTAAATACTTTTTTTATATCGTTGCGACAGCAACGGCTCAATCGATCGGCTTACATATCTACCAGGCTACGAAACGGACCGCCCAATCCTTTTTTGACATAACTTTTTCTGAGATTTTGGTCACCCCTGACGAGGAAGCTTCTCCACGCTACCCCCGCCCCTTGGTCATCACTGTTTATAAAAGTCGAAAAATATGGAACAGTTGTCTATTGAGAAAAAAAATTTTTGTAAATAAAGTTTCTTTCGGGCTCAAACTCGGGCCATAAAAAAGTGATCCTATTTCGAGGCTTGATGTTTACTCCTAGACCTGTTTTGCTTCTGCTTCTATAAAATTTAGTTGCATGCAATTTTGATGAAAATTGTATGTTCTATATTTTAGAAAAAAAATTCATCTCGTGACTGTGAAAATGAACAGAAATATTAAGGAAGTATTGAGATCTACCAATCATTCTGAGTAATCTGTTAATTTTTTTTTATCCGTAGATATTTCAATTTATAATTTGTGAAAAATAATTTAAGCAAAATTATATTTTTCTTTTCTTTAAATAATCAAAATATGTTAAATATTTTCGTAAAAGTCGAAAAATTTCACATAAATTAATTATTTATACTGGAATAAATATATTTTCAAAATAAAACATCGCTTTGTTAAAATTATTGACAATGATTAATAAATAAATAAATACAAAAAAAAAACACAGGTATGCTTTTGATCTAAACGGATAAAGTTGTTGTCACAGTTTTTGAAACAAATGTATAAAAAAGTTTTGAGAAAAATTTCAGACCATGTGTACCACCAGGAATATATGAGACAATATACCTAAAATAAAACATCAATAAAATTAAAAAAAAAACCTAATTACTTAAATAGAATTAATTACCAAACAAGAGCACCAATTTGTAATAGAACAAAGATGATAGTAAAGAAATAACTTCGAACCTAGAAAAAAAACAAATACATATCTATAAAATTTATTTTATTATTGTCATAGATATCAAGGAGAAAATAACTTATTTCAAGACTTATAAAACTTTCTTAGACAATCATTTCTTCTTGTCTAAAATCTATATTTATCATTTTTAATAATTTCTATTTTATAACGATATGAATACAATAGAAAATTTACCCAGACAGAATAATAAATTGTACCAACAAGAGTAACTACATATGTAATAGAAAATGGTAAACGATCAACATTTGTTAGATGTTTTAAATGATTTACTGGACCCCATAACATCGAAAAACTAAAATATAAACAAAAAAAAGAGAGAGAAAATGAATAAATTAATTAATTTAAAAAAAACCAAACAAATAAACTTTCAAACCTTGAAAGAAAGAATAAGCTACCAAATGAAAAAATTACTGCAAATTTTCTTGCTTTCAATATAATCACAGGAATGTAAAGTGTTGCTAATGCCATACATAATAGACCCATAGCAAGACACATCATAAATCCAAGAATACGTTGTTTACGAGTCTAAATAAAATTTTTTTTTCAATAAATAATCATTAATAAAAAGAAATTTTTATCATACCAATGATGGTAAAATTGGATCATTATCACCTTTTTGTAACAATGCTTGTATATCATCTGTATTTGATGATAAACTATCATTAGTTGAATTAGAATGTTTATTAAAAAAATTTTGTAAACGATTTATATTGATTTGAAATAGATTTCGTGATGATGATTGTTCATGTTCATCTTTATCATTGATTGTATGTGAATGACCAGTTTTTGATTCATTAACAAAATTTTGTAAACGAGAAAATTTACTATCCATCTAGAAACATGAAATTGGATATTTAGTTTTTTTTTTTAATTTTCTTATTTGTCTTATCTATCACCTCATAAAAAGTCGCTTGTGGTGTGCGAAAATTGAGAAACATTAAATTTTTAATATATCATCTAAAACTCGTTGTTTTTTTCATTATAAAGATTTTTCTTTGAGTTTTCTAATCATAAAAACTTTATTGAAAAGATAGGTATGAGAGAAAAGGAGAGAAGAATGACAACCAAAAAGAAAAAAAAAAGAAAAGAAAACAGAAACTTCATCGACATATACATACAATACTGATCGTATAAATATGAACGATTGCATTCCATACACACGAAATATGAAACACAGAACGTAACTTCCAAAAACATGATACTTTTCCAGATCTATTCTATTAAAAACTCGATATTAGAATTAAAAGGAATGCAAAACATACAAGTTTAACAGGTTTCATTTATTTTCACCTGATATATTGCAAGAATAAAACTTTTCAATGACAGACTAGAATTTAAAGAGAAAAATAGAGGCACATTGAAAAGAAAATTGAGACCGATACTGTTTGACTGTAAAAATGACTATTTTGATATTTTTTGCAGCTCACAATTGCCACTGGTAGTCTACCATTCAAAGTATAGAAATATATATGTGTATACATACAAATACACTCTTTAAAGAAAGAAAGAAAGAAAAAAACAAAATATAAGAATACAACACCGAGGATAAAAATCACCGAAGAATAAAAGAGAAAAATAAAATTAGAAGCAACACTGTACAAACAAAATTAGATATATCAGTGGAAGATAGTACAACAATCAAGAGAAAACTTCAGAATTAATTATTTTAACTAGTTCTGTTTATTAGACAGATGATGAAGGAAATCGAGCCATTGGTGTTTCATCTTGATAATTGAGACTATATTCGAGCATCTATAATTAAAATAATGAATTATCATTTTTTATTTCTCTAGAGAATATGTGGATAAAATTAGAACACATATATTTCGAGATAATAAACTTTCCTCGAGCTAATATTTATATATTAAGTTGCATTAGATACTCGGAAAAAATTCGCACGAGAGATCTTTGTTCAGAAGAGTTATTAGTAAAAAACCTGGTATGAGCGACACGACAGAATACGAACGAGAAAATGCTCTTAGAACCAAATAAGAAGTTTCAAATGTTACGAATTCTTCTTTAGAATCTCTAGATGATGATAAGACAAAAGTTTTTATTTCAAGACTTCAAAATTTCTCTAAAAAAACTGATTTTCAAGGTTCTAGTTTAATCAAAGTATTATCAGTGATAAGCAAAGTCTATACAATTGGGTTTTAAAACAGCAATTCAATTGTTTGTTGTAATGATTATTAATTATTTAGAGAGTAAATCAAAAAATTTCTTTATGAGAAAATAATTTCAAAAGACATCCGTCGTTGAATATCGCCTCTTCCGTAATTAGAAGACCTCCTCGATGAGAAACGATGCACAGGATGTAATTAAAGACTTCTATTAATTAATTATATACTTACAATATTGAAACTATAATTAGTATAATTATATTAGAATATATCTAACTAAATCTGATAAGATAAAAGATGAATACATACTTTATCAATTTCAGCTAGAAGTGTTGTTTTCTGTGTTTCATGTAATTTAATTAAATTTCCTGTATCTCGTTCATGTTTTAAAATTTGTCTTTTACGTTCTTCAACGAATTTTTTTGTATTATTCGATTTTAATTCACGTACACGACGATCTAAGTCTGATTTATTTCTTATATTTTTTTCTGAACCAAGTCGTTTACTATCTTCAATATTTTGTCGTACTTGACTTAATTCAAGTTCTTTTTTTTCTCTAAAAAAAAAAGAAATCAATTATATTTTTCTAAAATAGAAAATAAATTCTTTTACTTTGCTTGTCTTTCAGTTAATTCTTTCATTTGTGTTTTTTGTGTTTCATCAAGTAAAAGGCGTAATGTTTCACATTGTTCTTTTGTATGTTGTCGTCGTAAGACATTCATTTCAGTTAATTGTCGTTGTACAAGTGATGTCCATTCAACATTCTGTTCATTAATTAAATCCATTATCTAAACAAAAATATTTATTTATTTTTTTTTTTGTGTTGAAAAAAAATTGAATAAACAACTCACTTTTGAATCATTTTTTCCTTCTGTTAAATTACCACCATTACTGAAAATATAAAAAAAGCTATTAACACACAAATCCTAAGGGATTAAAATGTGAAACACGATGTAGCGTATTGTTGCTAATTATATAAAGATTGCTTTATTCTATCTATTTTGGGATATATTTCTTCATCATTCTTTTACTTAATCCTCCTAAAATGTAATAAGGAAGTAGTTTATATACCATAACAAGACGTCATTCATATACGGTCTGTGATGGTCACGGGTGACCTTCCAATCGTGGAAAGTTTTCGTTTTTTCTCCAATGAAACTGAACGATTTTCTTGGTCGTTTTTGCTCAACAAGAGCCGCCTCCTTCCAAATCGTAAACCATATCTTTTCAATAGTCGATACAACTTCATGATACCTCAGGCTGTGATCTCTGACTAGCGTCTGTGATGGTCAGGAGTATCCCTTGCAGAGGTATCCCTTCCTCAATCGTAGAAAAGTTTCGTTTTTTTTCCCAGCGAAACTGAACGATTCTTTTCCGTGTTTTTACTCACTGATCCCTACAACAAGGATCAATCCTTCCCCAATATTGGTCACGTCGGAACACCTCTGGCTATCGGTTCTGACTAACGCGTCTGTCACGATTTGCAGCGGTTTAAATTTCTATCTCTATACTTCAACACTCATTTTAGAACGTGAGAATTATTGTAATTAAAAAATAAAAAGCTAGATTAGTAAAATGCTTGAATTAGTAGAGCAATTAGAAATACCTTATATTTAATAATTTTAAAAAAAGTAATAAAATGAAAAACTGTAGATAAAGTAGAAATGAAAATGTATATTAATTAAGATTATTTTGTTTTTGTTTTTTTGTTTTTAATACCTTAAATCTTTTCGTTGATTTCCAATATGTATTATTGGTGATCGTGTGAATTTTTCTGATTCAGATTTAACTTTACTCATTATTTTTGATTGTTGTTCACCGAGTATTGCTTGTTCTTTTGCATGTTTCTTTTTCATTAATACTAATTCTTTATCTTGTTTATGTTTTAATTTAGTAAAAGTTTTATGTTCACATAAATATTCTAATGTTATTGGAATAATTGTTTCAATTGGTGTTTTAGATTTAACAGATGATGATGATGCTGAAGTATTTTCATCATTTGTAGATATTGTATTTACTGAAGTATGACTACTAGTTGTTGTTGTTGTTGATATTTTTGTATCTAATGAAGGATTAGGTGCTGACACTGTATCAGTAAGCATACGATTTCGTCGTAGAGATGAAGTACTTGATGTCAGATTACTATCCGAAGATATATTAGTTGATGAATTGAGTAATTCTTCGGTTTTTTTCATTAATAATGGTTTATTTAATTGATCAACAAATTCTGTTAAACCATCTGGTACATAAGATTTAAGAATTATTTGACAAAATATAGTTGGTAATGATAATGGAAAATTTCCTTCTGTACGTAATGATATATGTCTATAACCAGCTTGTAGACCATCTAATGGTAAAACACGTTGTCCTATTAATTTACCTGTTTCTTCATAAACAGCAATACGTAATATAGCTAAATCAGGGAGAACAATCTAAACAAGAATATATTTTTTTTTTGACAAATATTGATTAATTTTTAAAAAAAATTTCTTTTTTTTTTACTTTTCGAAATTCAAAAACACTTTCATCATATCTTGGATTAAGTCCATTAGCTGGAATTGTTTTCGTACGATATTCTTTTCTTATTGTATCAGCTTGTAAACCATACATATCAACTTCAACATATGTACCAATTTTTTTATCCGATAAAAATTGACCGGATATAACACGTACACTACAAAATGCAGCTATAACACCATCGACAGGACTTTCAGCAAATGGATCAAATGTACGATCAGGTCGACGCATAAAATCTGGTTTTAATAAATAGCTAAAACAAAAAAACAAAAACGAAATTCAAACTTTTTATAATACAGTAGAAGTTTATCTTCTTCATTGCAGTCATCGATTTCGATGTTTTAGCTTAAATAGAATTGGGACAGATCCCGACGAGGAACGGTCTGGTAGTGCCGGCCATCAGTTGTAGAACGGATCGGCTGGATTTTTAGCTCTCTCACCCCTAAAAACTATCGATTAGACATGTCTCAAGAATTAAAATTTACACATTATTTCACTGCTTTTGAAGGAAAACGAGTTTTTTGACAAACAAAAAAAGTAGGTAATCGCCCCGCTATCTCAATCATAGCGCATCCATTCAAGCTGAAATTATCTTGTACTAGAAAATGTTTGAGGTGTCTGTTTTGTTTTGCTTGAAAACACAATGCATCGCTAATTTTTGCCCGGATTTATAAAAAAGTTCCACTTAAAAAAAAAACAATACCCCTGAAGATTTTGGTGTTTTTATTTGAACACAAGTAAATTAAAAGAAACCAAAGAAAAAAGGTACACAATTTAAATATTAGTAAAAAAAACACTAAGATTTATCCGACATATTGTGGTTGAAAACGAGTGATAAAAGAAGCTATTTTTCGACCTTGTAACATCTAGAAATTTTAATTCAATGACAACTTTTATACTACACATCAAAAATATTTGTTATAAAATTTTTAAATGTGCCAAAAAAGAGGAGGAAAGATTCCTCAAGGATTGTTCATTAGAACATTGAATCTAATTAACAAGTTTGACGGAAGAAAAGAACATTACTTGCAACATCTTTATAGGCTTTTAAATATTATAATTAATTTATAGACATATTTCTATATATAATGGAAATAAACTCTAACTGATAAATATAACTAATTGGTTATGAAGAAAATTACATTCATAATTGTAAACTAATAGAATATAAATAGACAAATATTTCAGATTGTAATAGATATACATTAGTAGAAAATTCAAATATTTGAGTATCACTCAATGATAAAATCTTTTGTATTATAAAAAGAAAATAAATTTCTATTCAATGACTAAAAATAGCAAATCATTTAAATGAAATTGAACACAAATTTCCTTTTTTTTTCTTTCTAATACGTTACAACAATTCTTCCGGTTTTCTGTGCGTTTGTTGTTGTTTTTTTGTTTGGTTAAAAAAAGAATTTGCTCATTTCCTTTCTAATGATTAGTTCTACCCAGTATGTATCGCCATCTTTCCAATTAGAACATTTCCGATTTTTGTCTTTCTTGAATACAATTTACCATATTTCAGAATAAATATCTCAATGACTTTTATTTATAATGCAATGAATATGTCAATGGAATAATATAATTGATCAATCATTTCTCTCTCATTAGTTTTTCAAGCATTCTTCTTTATTATTATACATTGCATTTCCTATGGTAATGAGGGCAATTCAGTTGGGCTATAATAGTTACTATTCACTATATATGATCGTTGATGAAAGACAAAATGGAATGCAACTAGACTCATAAAATATAATGATGTTGTGTTTTTCATCATAAATGAATCATATTACAAACACTGTGTTTTACCACTATTATTCGACTTTGTGCATATAGATTTATGTTTGCATGAGTTTTATTTCTTATATGATTGCTATTCTAATAATGATGTAAATAAGGAAAAGAAAAAATAAGAAATGCTAAGAAAACGGAAAAACTCTAATCAACATGAAGAATTCTTGATGGTGCTAATACTAAAATAGTTTTTCTTTTTTCTTATTAACAATTGTTATAAATTGGATATGTTTTTTTTTCGTTTAAGAAAAAAAAACAAAATATCTTATTGTTGAAATATAGATCAAAATTATATTTGATAATGTCATCTAATAATGTTCTTTATAATAATCATGTTTATTTTAATCAATAAACAGACAATGAATAGAATAATAGCTATTATAGAATTCCACAGAGTCATATTCATGTATTCTATTTGATATTATGCATGAATATAATAATATACATTATCAGAATTATTAAGTATACTTGATCGAGTTAACATAACATATGCTCATGTAATTTACTTTCATAGATAAATATTAATTGAATAAAAAAAAACAAAGAAAATAGTCGCCGACTATTGTTAGATTGTATTCAATTATTTTCAATAAATTCACCGAAAAATTACTATAGTTAACCTTGAATTAATAGTTTATTCATAGGTGTTGGCATTTATATCATTACATCCGTTTCGTTAATATTATGACATGAAGAAGAAAAAACCATCTTCAATTAGGCAAATGTTATATTTAAATATTCGAAAAAAGCAAATTTTATATAACACTAACTAATTGAATATCCAGGACATTTATAAATAGTAAATAGAAAACACTTATCGAAATTATTCTCTTTCATTCCTTAGTTTTTTTTTCTTGTCATTATTAATTCTCCTATTCTCCAGTGAGAGTAATGGTGCTTGTTCTTATACAATATTAGATAAAAAATGCAGTATATGGAAAATCTTAGTAACGCCGCTAGCGTACTGTTTATAGTTCTGTTCTTTTCTTGTTTTTTTTTCCTCTCATTTTTTTTCTCCCTTGATAAATAAAGGAGACAAGTAGATTAGTTGCGTTTTTTTCCATTAATACTCGAAGATATAAATAATAAATAGATGAAAAAGGAAGCTGATGAATATATATACTTCCAATGAAGAAAGACCAGTCATTTAAGACTAGATAATATTTGTTTTGTTTTGAACAAAAATTTAAAAAAAAACAGAAAGATAACTAACCCACAATTTCCATTATATTCAAATTTTCCTGAATTTAATTGCATTGGAAGATCAGGTGTTTGAAAATTTAATGAAACCATTTGACAACCTGCATTCCAAAATATTTGTGGCATATAATTTGATGAATCAACACGTCCACCTTTGGGATATATTCGTGATAGTTGTCGTTTATTATAATTAACAAATTCGATTGGATTTTGTTTTAAATGTTGTAAAGCAACATTTTCAGAAAATGATGACATATGATAATGTATATTACGTTCTTCAGCTTTAGAAAAACCGGGAAATTTTATTGGTTGTGTATAATTAACACGAGAGGATAATAATGGATGAATATTTGTTGTTGCACCTTTATATTGATAACCATTGTAAAGTGCTTCTTCTTCTTCTCGAGATAGATTTGATGATCCTTTTATTTTAAAACCTAATTGGCTAAATAATGTACGACGAATAATATCATCATTTACGTCAACATTTAATTCCGGATGAGCTTCATCATCATCATCACGTAATTTAGCATTATCCGAAAATGCAGGTGGACCATCTTCTCCTTCGACATTAGCTGCTGAATCAACATCATTATCATTATTTCCTTCAGTATCTATTCCTTTGAGAAATAAATCGAGTTGTTCTAAAGAAAAGAAAAACAAAAGACATATTACTAAAATAGACAAAAAACAAACAGGAATAATTGAATATATACTTTTTTCAATTTCTAGTTTCAATCGTTTATTTTTAATAAGAATTTTACGCTTTAATAAACTTGGTGATGGTAAAGGCACGCCAGGTTCAAGCTAAAAAAAGAAGAAGACAAAAATTATGAGTAATAAAAAATAATCTACACTTTACTAGATGACTATCCAATGGTTTCGTTAATAAGAGATCTCCGAGTATTTCTTCACAATATTTTGCTAATTTAAATTGTTGTGGTTTAGAACAATGATTTTCAAATGAAAGTATAACCGGATAATCACTTGTAACAAATGCTGTATCTCTTATAGCATAGATAACTTCTTTAAAATTAATATCTGAACACATTGCTTTTCCATGTGTTATTATTGGTTCTGTATCATTTTTTCCATCCCAACAATCTAATTCAATACAACGACAACCAGCCAATAATACTTGTCGATACATTTCAACTGACGAACGACCACCAAATTGTCGTCCTTGTAAATATGTATTATGAGATGAATTTATTAAATAATGACATAAGGGTTGATCCATATCATGATAAACTTCTAAACGATCAAGAAAAACAGGTGCATTTTCATCCGACATTAAATATCGTGCTAAACCATCACATGATATATGACCACGATCTCGATAATTAGCACGTAATTCATATCGATCAACAATACGTAATGCACTTTTTGTATCATAAAATGGAAATAGAATTTCATTTAAACGTGGATCACGTTGAGTTTCATTAAGCCAATCGACAAATTGTTTTGTTGTTATATAATCTTTACCGCCTGATAATTGATCATATAATTCAGCTATATCAGTACGGGGACAAATTTTATGATATAAATCACAAAATTTTTCAAATGTAAAATCAACTGGATCAATTTCATCATTCTATAATCCGAGAAACACACGATCATATAAAAGAAAGAACAAAAGGTTATTTAGTTCTACCTTTCCACTTGGTAAACCAAGCTCTTTAAGAATTTCAAATATACGTTTTTCAGTTCTACCTGATGCAAATGTTTTACTAATACTAAAATTAACAAATGATTAACGCTATTAGACAAATACAAAATAATTTTTCTTTTACCTTCTAACAGGAATTTTCTTATTAACATTTAACATAAAAGATAATTTCATCCAACTAAAAAAAAACATATTTAAAAAAATATAAACAAAATCTAATCAAAGAAATAAAATAATTACTGTTTTCGTAATATTGTTGTTGGACATATATTATTAGCTTTATGATTATGAGTAATTTTTCTTAATCCTTCAATCCATATCTAGAAAACAAAAAATGATAAATAATTTTAAATATGCTCATTAAGAATAAACATACTTTTGCTGTAGTTGGTGCATCACCTGTTATATTCGTATGACTTATTTGTACAAAATCAATTCCACTACAAATAGTAACTGTTCTTTCATCAATATTACCTCGACCATGAACAAGTGAAGTTGACATAAGATCAGTAGCGATTTTTTGATCAGTTGGAGCTTTAAAAAAAATTATGAAGAATGAAGAAATAAAAAATAGATCAATTCTGAATTCATAAAGTCAATATACCTTTGCCTGGTCGTATATCGCTAACTTGTGATAATTCAATAACTTGTCCATCACGTCCTTCACTTTGCCAATAAATAAAAAACCCATAACTATCAACACGAAATAAACAATTCTGTTCTAATGCACTATTTTCTTCATCCCAACGATCAAAATAATCGCCTTTAAGTAGGCGAGCTGGTACTTCGATTTGCCAATCGAAATTATATGTTTTCGACATTAATTCAATGATCTCTTAATTTATATCATCGATTAGTTAATATTGATAACAATGGCTGAATACCATTAATCATTGTTATTAATAAATCTTAAAAAGTAATATAAGATAAACATATCAATAGTTTTTTAACTATAAATAAAAATAAAAGTCGCTATCATGTATACTATTAATATTCAATAAAGACAATCAAATAGATTGTCGCATAGATGGTAGCTGTTGTTGATGCTTTTGACATTTCTCTGATTGGTTGATTCAACTACCATAATTATATGTTGATAATTCTATCAACAAACTAGCAACTGATATATAATGACATCTATCAAGTGAATGCATTGATTAAAATTTAAAAATTAATTCATATGTTTAGATTTCGAAAAAATAAAATATCATTAATATTTTTTATATGAAATTATCGAACATATTTTCTTTCAAATAATTAGAAAAAGTAATCATTGACTATCTAATTAACACTTGTACTATGTCGTTGAACTTTGTACTTCGGAGACTAAAGGTTTCAAAGTAGATCGATATTAGAATATTGTTATTAAAACAAATGAAGACATGTTATAAAAACAGAAGCCATTACAAACAAAGAATACAAGGCACCATTATACAAAGGTCTTCCTAGATAAAACATAAATGCCATAATCATTTCCTAGTCGAAAAATACTAGATATATGTCTACAATGCATACCGTATTAAATATATCAACACGTTCATCTAATCGATTATGAAAATGTAATGTTTGTCTATCGTCTTGTCATCAGTCTATTGTCAGTTTATCGGTGTAGTCTAAATTTTGGAGATCAAGGTAATGATAGATTATCTTAGTGATAGTCGTTATTGATTAACTTGGACTCTGATCATGGAAAGATGTGGAAAATAAAGCAGAAGTTGTTTTCTTCTTGAAGGTTATACTCTGACATTGTAGATCATATTGATTTAATCATAAGGAAATCTTTATTTTTATTTTTATGAGAAAAGTTTACAAGTAATATTCTAACTTATCAAGTTTAAGTGAAATACAAGATTACTTATGAGGAAGGTTAACTCTGTTCGAGAAGGTTCTAAATTTAAATAAAGTCTTGTTATCAAATTTTGATCTGAAACTTTACTCATATAGAAATCTCTCTTTTTCTCTTCAACAAACCTCTATCAAAATCTTTGAATGCAGTTTTTCTAAACTCATCGTCTTTTCATCGATACTGCGTGAAATATACTAACGGGATGAACTTCTTTAGATGCCATCTTCGGATTTTCATGCTTTTTTTTCCCTATAGATATTATGTAGTACCCTAAAAAAAACCCTTGAACCATTTGTCTATTTATCTCTTCCTTCAAAAGTTATTAATATATTTATTTTGTCTCCATAGTGCATCACACGCAATATTAAAAGAATCCTTCCGTCAATAAAAAAACACAATGCAAACTATAAGTCAAAAAATTATTTTTCTGGTTTTGTTTCATATCTATGATATTCACAGAAGTTTCAATCTCTTAGTTCTTTTCCTTATCAAGCTATAAAATTTTCTTTTCTGAAGAAAGATTATACGGTACACTACTTCATGTAAAAAAAAAGTAGGATTCATTTTTTCATTATCGTTGATTATAAAGGATGTTCCATAAGTATCGGCTTCATTTTTACTTTTTTATTATCTTCTGCCGTATTTAAAGGTGCATGGACATCGATGATATATTTTTGAAGAGTAACATCTAAGCTATCATTTAAGAGAAATTACACTCAATTTGTATCAATCCTAAGAAAGTGCTTGATTAGTAAAAATATTGAAAAAATTTTTCTCTATCAGAATTATGAAAAATAGTAGTTATTCATTCATTGTCAGTTATTTTTGTTGTTCTGTTCTTATTAAACATTATTCAATTGAGAGAATATTTATTTTTGTCTACATATAGGAGACAACAATCATACTCGAACTAGAGGGTGGAGACTAAATATTCCATTAATATGTATCAAAATGAATTACATGCACGAAAGATTGACACAAAGTGGCTCATCTTGAATTACTAAATGTCACTGTAACCTGACAAGTTTTGCTCGAATATTTTTTTGACACCAGAACAATAGATGTTCAAATATTCTCTCGCATGATTAGCGTACTATAACAACAGAACTTGACAAAAGTAACTTGTAGTGAGTGAACGATTTGGCTGTTATTTTTAAATTATAATTATAGTTTTGTGATAATGATCAGATTAATTCACTTGTAATACTTTGATATTTTCAATAGAAATTTCTATTATAATGTCGTCCATATTTAAAACTATTGATATTAAAGGTGAAAGAAAAAAAAAGCTTGATAAAATTTTTTTCAATGTTTTTACTAGTATAGCACTTTCTTAGGGTTGATGCAGATTGAGTGCAATTTCTCTTGGATGATACTCTAGATACTACTCTTTAAAAAATATATCGTCAATGTTCATTCACCTTTAAATATGACAAAGAGAAAAATAGAACCGATACATATGGAACATCCTTTATATGTTTATAGTAATGATTTTTATATTGTTATAGAATCGATGAGATTAGGATATATATCAACAAAAGAGACAGTGACGGAATCTTATAGATCAAAGTGACCAATAGATTATAATATATAATGAAAAAAGGAAAATACCTGTTACAGTAAAAATCCAAGTATATGTATTATAGACAGAAATGGCAAAAAAAAGATAAACATATGTATTACATATGTTAGAATATGACTAATGATAGAACGCCTGAAATATACTAGTAAAACAGGAAAGGAAAATAACAAGTATACAGTAAATAGATTGCTACCGAACAATAAACTCCATCCTGAAACGCCATAAAAATCATTGCTAGAAACTCATATAATCCATGGTAATGAAAATAAATCTCTTTTATATGTAGCAATATCTCATATGATCTTTTTTTCAGCAAGCAAAAACGGATTTTTTTTTTATTTATAATTTGCATTTTTTTTTGTTATTGACTAAGGAATTTTTTAATATTATATCTTATGCACTAGAAGGATAAAATAAATATATTAATAACTTTTGAAGAAAGAGCTAGGAATTGAAATGCTTTAAAAATTTTTACTAGGGGCACTCTAGAGTATCTATAGGTAAAAATAACATTGACATTAAATGGGAAACACATGAGATGATTATTTCGTAAAATTCGAAATTTCATTTTTAATATGTATATCTTTTCGGCTAAATGTATATGAGATTCATCAAATGATTGAATCATGATTATCATTGATAGACAGCATATGATGAAATTGGAAAACTTTCTTAACATCATTAACGATTCTTTTTGATATTAATTATTCATTATTCAGATATGAATGTATTTTTTTTTGTCTTGTTTGATTTTTGTCAATTAATATTTCAATTTTTTTTTTTCGTATCCTTAGTTTTGACAAGTTTTTAAGCATAAAGCAATGGATAATTCATTGTCGAAATTATGATCAATCAGTGTTCGTAACGTGTCAACAAAAGAAAAGAATCGTATCAACAGAATTTCTATATATGTTAATTTTTCTTTTTTTTTTAAGTATATTATATGCTTTCAATGACAATTATTTATTAAATTGAATTTCTTCAACCTTAATATTGTTTGGAATATATCGATCATATTTTCATCTATTCAGGATTACATTGAACTAACGAGAAAAATTCCAGCCGATAAAATCAAATATTTCATTTCCGTTTGTTCACTATTAATATTCTATTCACATCGCCTTCTTCCTGGTTTATTATTTCTGATTGTTAGATTATTGACATGTAATAAAGTATCTATTGCAACGATCGCAAAAGGTCGAAGTATCACTTATATACAACGATATTGGTTAACGATATAGTCTAATAGAAATTTGAACAATTATAATTAATTGTCGAAGCATATAAGGGAAAATAGTTTAATGACATATTTATATAATCAACGGATGTTTACATATGTAAACGCTGAAATAAATAAAGCTTAGTTTGAATTTATGTTGAGATAAGATGAATATTTTATAGGGTTTTTTTAAACTCATGTGTTAATTTAATGTAAATGTCATGTGAATTTCTTCTATCGATCTATCGTTATATTTTTGCCAATTGAGAAATTTCACTTGAAAAATTAATTTATTCCAGGTTTTAATTGTTCATTTCATATTTCAATTTATGAAACTTAATAATTCTTGAGAATTTTGACACAAAAGATAATTATTGATTAATATAAATTTTTAAGAAAAAATTTCGTATATTCAAAATGAAACTCTATCATGTATCTAGAAATTATTTGTGTTCGCATTCGACTTCATTAAGCATTCGACAGAAGTATCCCAACTGTTTTCAAGTTGTCAGTTTCATCTTCATAATCACAGTCAGCTAAACGACAGATGTTTTGTGGCAGATAAATTGATTCATTGTTTTTTCTACTGTCAGAAGTTTCATTGCCATCAGCACCAGTATACTTCAGTTGTGGTTTGGGCTTTATCAGTGCTATCGCTATCATTAACGGTCAGCTGATTAAAATACTCCATAAATGTATAGTCAATTTGATGGAAGAGCCTTATTTCAGGTATTTGGTTTATTTTTTATTGTAGATGCCATTAAAAAAACATATATCACTATGAGTTTTTTTTACTAAAGTATGTCAACATATGTTTAAATGCCGCTGTTTTTTCGTTTCACTTTCTATACGTACGCATCGAAATGCTGCATTTTTTGTTCTAATACTTTCAAGAAGGAAAAATCAGAAAATATTTGTTCGAATATAAAAATGAAATTTCAAAATCAAAAAAGAAAAATTTCTTTTCTGATCCTTCAGATAAACTTTTGTTTGTTTACAAATAGCTATCCAGTATGAATGAAAAGCTAGCCGTCACCTTGATTGAACAACTGAAATAGTATATGGTAAGCTTTGAGTACAGCTGATCATAGATAATTATATTATTAGTCGGTAGTATTCTTTAGAAACATGTTGATACAGATTGATAGAGTTTTCTTAGTAATGAATATCCCAATGCCTACTTTTCAATTCGATCAGTTGATCCAAAGATTGCAGTAAACTATAATTATGTTATATTCAACAAAAAGAGTATCATAATCAATTGCAGAAATAGTTACTCGTTTTTTTTACGACTGATCGATATCTCAATAATCGACATGCAAAGAGTTTTTGTATCGAATTTGACAGTTCCACGGAAAGTCTTAAGCTATATAATTTCTCTACACAGATTGGGTTCTAGATTATTTTGTTTGATTGTTTCAAATAATTAATATTTACGAAAAAAAAATATCGTGTCTTATATCATATATTCACAAGGACTGATGAAATCAGCAAAATACATATAACTCTTAGTAGATGATGAAGTCATATATACATATGAGATATTCTGGAAGATTGATATTTACATTCACAAAATACTTTAGAAAAGATTAGTTGTGATAAAACTTTAGTTAGGAATTTTTCTTTCCTTTCGCCTGCTCTCCCCAAGTCGAATATTTCGACCGTCTTAAATTGCCTAAGACGGCGTGATTACTGCCCTAAACGATGAAAAACGCCCACCGTTTTTCGTTGGAATGTAAACGACACCGTTTAAGGTCGTTGCCGACAAGTAACGATAAGTAGTATCAGAGTCGCATTCTCACTGTATGGTGTCTTATTGGCAACAGTTTTTTCTTTGTTTATGACTCTATTTATCTGCTGCCACGGGACAAGGTATGACGACAGTCGTTAATGGTCATCGTATTCGCATCTCTTCTCAATGAAGAGGAACACGATTTTTTTCTGTTATCCTCACCCTCCATTAACACAAGAAACAAAATTTGTTGGATTTAAATCAAATACTTACTATGCTGGAAGAAATCTGAATAAAAGAATATTATTAATTTTTTTAATAGGTAGAGACCAATGGATTATAGACTGTCAAAAAGTATCTGATGATAATTTTAAGACACTTATGTTAAAACAATGAAACATAGTGTGAAACGGCAAAAAAACTGTGGTTGTAATGAGAATTGTTTCCGTGATACGTAAACGATCTTCATAACGGATATCGTTTTTCGCCGTTTATGGACCGTTCTTACGGCATGAATGGTAAATTTCCAGGGGAAGGACGACGGTAGTGAAAAATTATCCTGTAGGACAGAAAAAAATTGAGAGCGTCAGATGATCGACATAGTTTTAGTTTGTATCGATCTGCTATTTAAGTCTTTTGCACAACAGTTGCTTTCAGTCAAAAATATCATATACTTATATGGATATATAATGGTTTGTGTCTGACCTAGAAAAACCTATTTAAGCATCTATTAATCATCAGAACTGTCACGTCATATCTAAAATTACAGTAGAAACTTTATTGTTTGCTTTAAAACTGTTGAATCTTCAATGTACATGCATTAAAAAATAATCACTTGAAAATCATTTTTTGTTAACAAAAAGAATATTTTTCAAGATGACAAACACATTGGAACAATCCACTCTTGTATAGCAGAAAACTGCAACAGAGATAAATGTTTTTAACCATTGTCGGTGAATATTGCTGTTGTTCTAAGACAGTAGAACATCACGAACAAAATTATACAACGATTATACTAGATAACTCAAATAATAGTTATGTCGTTCGGTGCAAAGATTCATAATGTAATAATAGATTTTTTAATATGACAGAATATAAATAAATGATAAAAAATTATATTCTAGTTGGTGATTCTCTTAATATAATTACTTGGAAATAAGATAAAGCAATAACAGTATCTTGTGATATAAAGTGTAGTTATATTATCAAATAAAATGAAATTTCGCTAATTTGTTACTTTCTTTTGAATATCTCTCACCTTAGATATCTATTAAATGTTTAATATTCTTATTGATATTATTCTCATTTCTTAAACATTGAATTTTCTATAAAATAATACTTTTTCTTTTTTGCTTATACGATTGTCAGACTTTTAACAAAACAATTTGGCTGAGCTTTTATTCATTTCATGTGAGTTAAATGAGTATATACTTTCGTTAGGTTCATGATCACATTCTCTAAATAAGTATGTCTTAAATCTTGATGAAGAAAGAACAAACTATAGACATTTGTAGAGCAGAATAATAAACTGTGGAAATAAGACTTTCATCCTATATACTTAATTTTTTTTTTTTGGTTTAAAAAAGTATGTTAGGATGTACGGCATGACAGGGTTCTTTCTATTAAATTCTTACTTTTTAAGTGGAGAAAAATTCAATGTTTCGAAAAATGGTGCTCGAACTATTGAAGTACTCTTTTATATAACTCTAATTAGTGCTTAATTAAAAAAAATTGATTATGTTATGCGTTTCACCTTGACGTGTATTTGAAGCTAAAGAATAAAATAAAATATACAGAATGAAAGTCTATACAGAATTCTAAATTACGCGATCAAAAAAACCACATATTGCTCAAGCTGAAAATGAAAACTATCTAAAATCTTTAAATAACCAACTCAGGCCATCTTTTCATGCATTTATCTTAATTTTCATCTTTTTCTGAATGGGTGGCTTCAATTCCATGTCAGTGACTGAAGCATAAGTTTAAGGAATGTAAAAACAATTGAATGAATTACCTCCAAAACATGAATATGAAGGCAATTATCTTTTAAGAACAATATTGCATATACACAAATTAGAGCTCTGCACGGAATCAATTAATTTTTTTGTCGAAAATTCATTTTTAACATACGAACTTTTTTGAATAGTACATTTTATTCTCCGATATTTATTGTACAAACTGATGAATTTTGACGATTCCGTCGACTTCGTTTTTCATCCTTCGAATACAAAAAGGTTCATATGTGAAAGCTGAATTTTCGGCAAAAACTTTAGTTGATTACGTGCAGGACTCTAGCATAACTCGGCCCCAAAGGATAGTAGAGACGAACCTTTTTAGACTTTTGCTATTCATACTAAGACCTGCATGTAGGTTTAAATGGTGTATGTCACTTAAGATAGCTCTTTCGTAAGGACAAGAACTATTTCTAGGATATTCATAGCTCATTTATGTTTACATGATACACATAGTATTGACCCAAAAAAGCGATTGAATAGTTGAAGAACTTCCCTCATAATTTCTATTAGATAAAACTTTTCTTTTTAAGGATATTTTATTGATTATCACAATTAATGTAACTAAAGTTTAAATTGCTACACAAACTAGTACAAATCTATTAAATGAACAACAATAAAAAAACAAAAAAAAAAAAAGAAGAACTATATTTGTCTTTAAAAATGAACTATTACCATAAGAGCAGTAATAATAAAAGATAAATTCATATAACCATAATTATTGTTACCATTATTGATTATAGATTTTAATGCATTTCGTTCATCTGTCACATATGTCACAGAAGTTTCAAGTGGTATATCGCTACTTGTTTCATGAGCTGAACCATCGACAGTATTTTTCGATACAGATATTTCCGTATTATCAATATCTAATTCCACTTGAAATGTACCATCTTCTTTGATATTTTCTGTTTCTGAATCTGTTAATAAAGCAGATTGTACTTGACAAATATTAATAATAATAATAATAAAACTGATCAAAGAAATCCAATGCATTATTAAAAACTATATTGAATTGAATATGTAATTGAAAAAAAGAAAGATTGAATTAACAAAAAAAAAAAAGAAGAAAAGTCGACTGATTTACTTATTCGAATGAAAATGAACAATAGACGACAAAGAGAACAGGAGCGTTAGATCAATATCCATGACCTTTACTATTACTTTTTTTCTTTTTTTTTTAGACAACAACCGATAGCAACAAACAATATACAAACGAAAAAAAAAACCGACGGAAAGAAAGAGAAAGTGAATATCAAATAGTTCATTAATCTGCAACTTACTTGTTCATAGAATCAATATAAATGAAAGAATAATAATTATATATGAAGTGTATGATATACATGAAAGAAGCTCTAACAATTGCTTGCCAACATAGCGCTATTGGATAGAACATGCAAATAAATGTGATGATTAAACGAAAAAAAAAAAAAAAAGAACAAAAGTTCTCTCTAATGAAAACATTCGCATAGAATTATGTAACTCGTTTTTTCTTTCTACTTGAATTGTTTAATCCTTTTTGTTTTCTAATGATTGAAATTTGAATAATTGAGAGTTGAACTTCGATCAAAAGTTTCAATTCAGTAAACATTTGCATATGAGAAAAAAAAAACCGAGCAGATATGTAACGATATAATTTAGAATAAAGAAATGATTCGAGAAAATTTATAAATCTCTATTGTAATATGTGTTCAACTTTATTTAAAAAAAAAAGTAGAAAAGAAAAATAAGTTGAAATGCAAATTTAAAATGTTTAGTTATCAGATTTATTTTATCGTATCAATGAACATATCTTGCATGCATATGAATATTATTTTTAATAGATAAATATGATAGAAATCACGCAAGGCAAATAACTGAAAGTTTTGATTACAATTTGAATGTAAAAAAGAAAAGAGATTGTCCGATAAATCTTTGAACGTATTCAAATCATAGAGTCAGACACAATTATTTCTATGATATTATAGAGAGAAGTATGCATTTCGTTTTATTTTTTCAATAGTATTGTTAATAAATTTAAAAAATTAAAAACTAAATAAATATCAATCAAAGTCCATTGAAAATATCTATGAAAAGCAATGAATAATATTACACCATTTATATTATGAAAAACGATCTAAAAAGATTGCTGAAAATATATAGAGTAGAAATTTGCACTCTATAACCTTACAGACCATAAAAGATGGAATTAACAGACCGTGACTAGTGCGTTAGCAATACTTCCATCCATCCATGTGTCACGACAAAAGTTATTGATATACAATTAAGTAACTCTATATCAATCACATCTTATGACAATAAATGAACTATTTCTTTAATGTATTTCTAGAAGACTAAGTTAAAGGATGGTGAAGAAATGAGTTTTAAAATAGATAAACAGCTGTTTTATATATATATGTACAGTAATGGTGTAATTAAGGTTTGGTGAATCCGAGCGTAGCCCTAGCACCTGGACAAACAAAAAAGCTATTAATAGCAAACTCTTATATTATCTTAGATGAATTTTGTTTTGAAAAATCGTAGGATACTTTCTTATCATCTACGATTTCCTTCGTACACTACTGATACACAGATAATTCAATAGATTTCTCGTAGGAAGAAAAAAAAATGTATATCTTCAATATACAGAATTATTTGTAATCTGACAAAAAATGACGATCGATATATTCAAAAGAATACACATTCGTTACACTTTAAAATATGGTCCGTTTTTTTTATTTAATCATCAGATAATAATACTGCATAATGTCTGTATTTTAATATATTTCAATATACATGGTAAAAATGCAATTATTAAACGAACATGCATAACAAGTGCCTGTCACACTTCGTTAGTTTCTTACATAATATAACTCTATAATGAATGTATATTCAAAGAAAAAAAATGTTCGGTCATCATCAACATCGACGATGTATTCTCAATCAATGTCTCACTTACATATTTATTATAATAATTATATTCCTAATAATTTCTATAGCTCTTTTATTTTTCTTTACTCAAAAAGGAAAACAAAATGTTAGAAAACCTGATATGAAATTTCTAGAAGCACGAAGTCAACATATTAAAAAAAAATTCGATAAAATCTATGGAAATTTCTCTCAATGGAATTTAACATTATGTAGTCATACATCACATCATCGTGGACTACATCAAAAAGTAATTGCTATTTCAGTTTATGGAAAACAATCAAAATTTACTAATAATCCAATGTATTCATGGGAAACAAGTATATTACCATTTTTTGAACTTCTTATTAATGAAATTAATATATTACTTCCACAATGGATTCTACGTGTTTATATCGATTTTGCTGGTAGTACTAAATCTCAACAAGAATATTTTTATAATTTTTCAAATGTTGATATATGTGATATAAATAATATTCCTATGTTTGGTTCATCTTTACATAAATTTTTACCTAGTAAAATGTGGCGATTTTTACCAATATTTGATCCATATGTTGATTATTTATTATCACGTGATCTTGATTCACCAATAATTCAACGTGAAACAGAAACAATTAATATGTGGTTATCAAATGAACATGAAAAAAATTTTTTCTATATTGCACGTGATAATATTGAACATGGTACATTTATATTAGGTGGACTTTGGGGTGCAGCTTTAGTACGTGCTCGTCATACTTTAATTAGTATTTTTCAACCGATGCTTATACCAACATTAGTTAAGTATTATCATGATAGAGGTGATCAAAGATTTTTAAACCATTATGTTAGTGATCGTGTTAGAGATAATTCTTTAATATTTGATAGTTATTTTTGTGAAAGTCTTGGTGGTCGACCATTTCTTTCTCAACGACCGATGAATAATTGTCATCTTGGATGTATCAGACCATGTTGTAGTAATGCAACAAATGTTAATTCTAATGGAACTCAAATACCTTGTCCAATCAAATGTAGACCAAAGGAACATCCTGATTGGATTTATTGTTAATATTTTCTTTTCTTTTGATAAGTGACTTATTTGTATTTGAATAAAATAGCTGTTAGCATAATCCTGTGAGATAAAAATATGAAATACAATGTAGCTGTTGTTACTAATTACGGGACGATAGTTTGATTCTATTAATTTTGGGAAACATTTCTTGACCATCTTTTCACTTAATCCTCTAGAAATACAATAACAAAGTAGTTGAATTATATTTTAAGGAGGTGTTATTGATATACGATTTTGATAGTATGTCAGTAATGTCTGTCACAATTTGTGTGGAAGGAAGTAAGTACAAGTTTTTACCACTACATTTCAACACTCTTTTTTCGATTATGTTTCACCAAAACAAACTAATGAAATTATTTAAAATATTTTCTTGAAGAAAGTAGAGTGTCTTTCTCAAGTTCGATCGAAAGAACTTCAATAGCTCTTCAGCAATTCAGATATTTGTATAGTTTTTTTTTAAACAGTTATATAATCTACTTTTCAAAATTTCAAAGAATCTATTTTTGATAGCATGTCTATGCCTATCAAAGTCATCATCATCACTGTAATTCTAGTGATGATTAAGTTCAAATTTTCTGAAATTGCAAAAATCCAAACTGTCAATTGGGTGCGATAAAGCAAGTACAAATGACAAATGCATAAGAGTTATGCAGATTTGCTAAGATAGAAATTCAGTCGTGTTCGGAAAGATCTAAAATAACTATTGAAAACAAAATGTTGATGAAATTCATCATGTTG